CATAGCTTCTCCCCCTGAGGATGAATCAGAGGATTGATTATTTGGTTGGAGCAAGTGAGGTATTCCCCCAGGCCCGGGGAGTGGTGAGGATGCAAGATAACAGACACTGACTTTACGTTCTTCTCCCAGGTCCTGTCCCTCAGCACCTCAGCCCCTGGCTCAGGCTCCACCACCACCTCTCCTGTCACTACCACGGTCCCCAGTGTGCAGCCCATTGTCAAGCTGGTCTCCACTGCCACAGCTGCACCCCCCAGCACTGCTCCCTCTGGCCCTGGTAGTGTCCAGAAGTACATAGTGGTCTCTCTTCCCCCAACAGGGGATGGCAAAGGAGGCCCCCCCACCTCCCACCCTTCCCCAGTCCCTCCCCAATCCTCAGCCCCTTCCCCACTTGGGGGCAGTGCCCTCTGTGGGGGAAAACAGGAAGCTGGAGATAGCCCTCCTCCAGCTCCAGGGACTCCAAAGGCTAATGGCTCCCAGCCGCCTGGATCTAGCTCGCCTCAGCCTGCCCCTTGATGCTGTCACACATCTGCCAACCTTCTCTTCCCAAGAGTCTCTCTCTCTACACACACACACACACACACACACACACACACACGCTGGATGGAAGGAAGTAGTCATCTGCTTCCCTCACCTTAACTTTCTTTTTAGATATTGTACAGCCAGCTCCTCATAATAAAAGTTTGATTTATAAGTTCCGATTCACCTCAGTCCTTCCTGTGTCCGATACAATGGAAGGATCTAACCTGTCGAGCCCTCCTGGTCTCTAGGACTTAGGTCTCTTCCAGCCAGATCCATACCCACAGGCCAGAAGAATGGAGAAGACAGTATCGTCCTCCTCCTGAACCACAGGCCACCATCTTTTCTGCCCATGTCCTTGTTTGGGGAGCCTCAGATCCGAATGACATAAGCATCACTGTGGCTTAGGTGTCGCACCCACTTGTGGGGGTTGGCATTGCTGCAGTGTCTGAATGCCAACCTGAGGAAGCGAACCTGGAGGCCGGAGCACGTGTGCCGGGGAAGTTCAAAGGAGAGGCTCGCAGGGCCCAGCCCCAGAGGAGGGGCTGAGGTGGAATGTCCTTGACCAGGAGGCCCGGGCAGACCTGGGACTTCCATCTGTGAGGGATAGAGGCAGAGGGATGAGTGCTGAAGACAGAGGAAGGTGGGCAGGGGAGCTGTGGGGCCAGGAAGGTAATTATATTAGTGGGAACAACGCAACTATATTAGGAGACATGAGTTGGGGCTGAAAATGGAGGCTGAAAATAGAGAATCAGCAGCTGATACCTGGAAAAGGCCTGAGAGCTGAGAGCCTCCTTGCACCCGAGGCAGGTCCCAGCGAAGGGCTCCATCCCACAGCTCTGCCTTCTGCTCTGGGCTACTCAGCTCCTGGGACAGGCTGGAGTTTGGAAAGGTGCTAGGCTCAGCCCGACTGCCTCGGGCAGGCCACTTCCACCCCCACAGTATATACTCTCCTCCCCAGTGCCATCCTGTTGTCCAGGGAAGCTGGTAAAGCCATAATGCACACACACTAACCTGACCACCCCTCGAGGCAGGGGAAGATGAAGCCTGATATTGAGAGCCTGGCTGCAAACACGAAAGGAACAGAGTCAGCCCCAGAAAGGTAGTGACTTGTCTCCACGCTTCATTAATGTCATAGCTAGAATTCAGCACAAGTTCCACCCCACCCCCTTCCCAAACTGATTCCTAGGCTGGTGGCTGCATCTGAAAGCCGTAGCGACAGGTATCCATCTGGGCCCTTTCTCCTACCCCCCATAGCTGAACTAGTCTTGGCTACCCGCACTCATACCTCTTTGGAGGCAAGTCACATCGTAACTTCAGATAAACCTGGAGCCTGGACGAGAGAATACAACACCGTTACTCTAGCCCAAGCATGTCAAACTCATGGCCGGCATGCAAACAAGGCATGCGGCCCACTGGCCAAGGGTTTGACATGCTTGCTCTAGCCATATCCTACTGGCATCTCACCAGCCCCCATACATGTACTGAAGGAATGAGAGAAGGGCTGAAATCTACTCAACTCTATTAGTCACTAGTGTTCATGGGGCTGAGTCCACTTGGGGGGAGGGTGCCTTTTTCCAATTTATAACCTATACCACTAACCACCATGCCTCCACAATAAATCTACCTATTGACTTGGGTTCCAGAGAAATTCTAGAAGTGGAAATGGTCTCACCTGCCTGAGCCTCGGTCCCACTGCACAGAGGGAAAGAGCCGGAAGGGAAGCGGGGAGGGGAGGTCATCTGAGAGTTGGTACCGCATCACAGTCAGCTAAGATGAGGGAGAAACGGAGATCAGTTTGGTCCCCTCACACCTGAACTGCCTCCCTTCCCTTGGGTAGATGGACTATGCTAGGCCAGCCCATCCTGACCTCGCCCTGGGGTGGCTGCAAGCGGAGTATTCGATGAGACTCAAATTCATCCAGTTGCACCGAGCTGTGAAATGAGACTTCATCCACCCGAATTCCTGGCCCATAACCTAGAAAGAAAGACGACTCTGCTAAGCCATATTTTGGGAGAGAAGAGCAGGGATGGGGTAGGGATCTGTCTCTAACTTCTCTGCATGAAGCTTCTGGTAGGAGAGAAAGACCCACTTTTTTCTCACCTCTCAGTTCCGACTTCCCCACACAAAATTCTTCTGTCAAGCCAATGCGCATCTCTGCCAGAAAAAAGGACATCAGAAAAGGCCACCAAATACCACCACAAACCCCAAGAAGTCTGTCCCACACCCAACCCTAGGCCCACCCTGCAGACTTCTCACCAGAGCCACTGGGAAGAAAGCTCTTGAGTCGGATCTCCCCCTGCACATCCACCTTCAGCAGTGAGCCCTGAGAGTGGCAGAGAGGTTAGTGCCCAGAGGTGACCTCCCCAAATGTGTTTGCCAGACACTACCTGTCCTCAGCTCCAGGGCGGGGGGCCCAGACTTACATTAGATGCTATCAGTACGGACAGTCTCTCAACCACGTCCAAAAACACTTCATTCTTTTGGCTCTGAGGAAGAGAGGGCATTTGGGTAGTTGGAGGCTGACCAGCCTGTATTCTAAAGTGGCCAGAGCAGTGGACGCTAGAGCCAGGGTGGGGGACACGAGGTATGGGAAGGGACTGGATTATCCAAATCTAGGAGAGGTGGAAAGATAGGCAGGCATCTTGGACTCTGGGATCCCCTAAAACAGAATCAGAGGGTCTGAACCTGTGTGGTCTCCCTCACCTGGTCAGAGCGGCTGGACAGGACGGGGCGGCTGGCTGCACTGCTGGGGGCCACTTTGCTCTGTTGTGTCTCAGCCCCAAACTGCAAAGCACCCAAAGCAATCAGTCCTCAAGGTCTGACACTCCCGGCCGAACCTTCTCCCTCCTGGTCCTCTGTCCCTCGGCTCACCAAGCCCACGCTGCTGAGATCGAAGAGGCTGAAGGGTTTGCTGACCACAGCCTCGGTCTGGATGAAGTTCCTCAGCATCTCCGTGGATGTGGTCTGCACATAGCCGTAATCCTACCGACGGGGGAAGAGCAGTTTTAGGGGGGCCCGTGGAGCAAAGAGGTGAAACGGAGTGGACTTGGCCTCTCCATCAAGGAGCAGCTCTGTAGGGAACAGGGACGACCAAGGACATCTCTGAGCCTTACCAACACCTCATCCAGGAGTTCATAGACGAGGGCCACGTTGCGGGAGATGGTCCCCTCTCCCAGGGCGCCGCAGTAATCGCCCAGGAGGGTGGCTAACCTGAGGAAAAGAATGGCGTGTGCCTCTCTCCCTCCTCTCACCCCCCAACACCCCGCTGCCCCGCCCTGCCCTCCTCACCGAGAGAGCAGCTCCAGGAGGCTGAAGGGAGAAATGTTTTCTGAAGTCGTGGCCACCAAATAGAGACCACTGTGTCTGATGTGAATAAAATGCCGGTCATCGTGGTGCTGAGGCAGAAAGGCGTGGGGGGGGTGGGAGGGGGAGAAAGCGTCGGGAAGGGGAGTTGTGCTTAAGGGCCCACGAGATTTTAGCTGGTACCCCGATTCCCCAACTGCCCAGCAGTGCGACCTCGGGCGAACCAGAAACCTCCCAAGGGCCCAGTCTCCCCAAGTGTAAAGTGGGGTTCATGAGTGTTCCTTCCTCATGCGAGGAGCTGTGCCTGCTATATTGTTAGCGCTCAATAAACTTTCCTCAATATTATTTGGAGGAATGCACGGCCCCCATCCCAATGGGAAGCTCTCAAGGACACAGCCCCGAGGGGGAGGAAGCGTCCCCTCCACCCGACCCTGCCAGAATATCACTCCAACCCCCTGTGGTTACCATGACAACCGGGGACTCTTCTCCAGGCAGTCCCATCAGCTTCCGGTAGAAGAGCTCGGCCACATCCCGGCCTCCACTGTCCCCGCGGACTGACCGGTTGAAGGACAGCTAAGGAGCCGGAGACACAAGCTAGCTCTGGGACACTACTCCCACCCCAGCCTCCCCCCCGTGGACTCGTGGGTCAAGGATACAGTCCTTGTAGATGAGTGGGTCCCCCTTGGAGGACAGAATGAAGAACTGGGAAATCATGGCCGTTCTGCAGAGTGGACAAGGAGAGGAAAGGGACGGCTGCCCCGAACAAAGGGACGCGTGTAGGCTGGCCCTTTAAGACCGATTCTCCTCTGACGCGGGAAATCCGGCGCCTGCCCCACCCCGCCCAACCTGTCCCTTTCATCACCCACGTCGCTTCCCCGTCACTCAGCCCAGGTTCGCCTGGTGATTGGTCGAGGCTGGGCCCGCGGCGAGAGGGCGGGACAGAGGATCTCTTATCGGATTGGCCCATACGCGGCTGCGCCGGTCACGTGTTGGGCGACGTTTCGCGCCAATTTCGGTTGGTCAGCCACAGTCTGCAGCGGGAACGTTCGCTGCTACGGGAGAGTGAGAATCCTGAGCGCGCCAACTGCTGCTGCACGGTCCTCAGCAGCGATGGCTCTTAAGGACTACGCGCTGGAGAAAGGTGAGGGTCTGCAAGCTTGGGAGGGGCGGCCGGCGCGGGAACTCTCCCGGCCAGCACCTGTTGATGTGAGCTAGGGTCCTGGGGGCCGCTCGGCGCGCGAGGCCAGAGCCGGGGTCCAGAAGCGGCGTGGCTAAGGCACAGGGTGCCTGGGAGGCGCTTGGAGACCCGAGGTCGGAGAAGAGCTAGTGATGGTGTCCGGGAAAGGAGTGGGGGCGGCGGATAGTCCCGCTGGGGGTTCGAGTGGAGACGGTCGCGCCTAGGCGAAACCAGGACCTCGGAAGGTCTTATCTAGGGCGTGGAGTCGGGCCCCGCTGGCCCCGCTGCCTTCCGCGCGCTTCGGCACTCCCAAGTAGCCGCGTTCTCCCGGGATGTCGAAGCCCCGGGGGCGGGCTGACCCGGGCCGCTGCGCGCGGGGATTGGCCATTTTAGTCCAACCTACAAGCGGAAATGAAGGCGGGCGGAAGTTGCGCGACGCCTCGGAGGGAGCTCCGTGTGTAAACAGTGTCCTTCCGCGCGGTAGCCTCCGAGGGAGCTGCCGAGAGCGGGGACGTGCCTGGAATTCAGGGTTTTAGTGCGAATCTTAGAGGAGGTAGTATGGGGCCGAGACGGGGACGACGGAGTGCCCTGGACCAGCTGGCCAGTTGCCGGACCGGCTCCCCCGGGCGGAGGAATCCCGCGCTGTGAGGCGGCAGCATCTGGGCCCATGTGCTTCTTTGTTTACTAAGAGCGGAAG